CATCCAGAATATATTTAAAAATGTTTCCTCAACCCACCGCTCCAAGCTACGCAGCTATTACCATATTAAATACAAAAAACCTACACCCGCTACCACATCATATTCTAGTAGAAAGCAAGTGATAGTATTAAATGCTCTTCCGGATACAGCTATCTTTGATTACATTAAGGCAATCGGTGAAATCGTAACACCAAAGCGTATTATCCACGCTTCTCGCATATTAAACCAACCCATTTGCATCTTTCTTGCTTCTATTTCTGGCGTCGATACCCTTTTCAAAAACAATCCCACCGTTTGCGTTTAAAACGAAATCGTCCACATCCGCAAATTTATTTCCCCAACTAAAAGATTGTTTAATATCTAATGTATGTCCATCCATTCCAAATCAACTTATCGAAAAGGCATTAAAAAACTAACTTTGTTTGCAACTAGCCCTACCTGTATCTTAGATTCGTACTGGATCACCCGATGAAGATTATTTCCATATAATAAGTTTTCGACGGTCCATCTACATAATACCAGATAAAAAAAAATTTCGAAATACAAACCTCGGTATTAATACCTTTTTGAAAACAATTCTTTCTAAATCTTCGTTACATCTAAACAACTTGAATGTTTCCTTTGCCAAAAGCTGGACATACTGCTGAAACCTGTCAAAACCTACCGGATACCACTACCTACTCCCGATTTGGCTACGTACCTAATGAATCCACCAACAATAGCCCCACCGCACCTTCCGGCACATCTTACAGTTCTGCCCGAAATTTTTACTCCGACAATTAATCTAACATCACAACTCTATCTTTAAATCAACCTCAACCTACACCTCCTGCTATCGCCCTCCTCAAAAGAGCCCATTCAACTGACTCAATCCTCAATTATCTCCCTGTAATAACCATTTCAGATCCCACTACTCACAGTCTGATCGATCCACATTCCCTTCATGACAAGTTCGTCTGCCCCCTCAATCATAGACAATCTTATAGCAGCAAAGCCATCATCCTTTTTAATTAACTCGCTACAACTAATTGCTTTCTTGGAAAATTCTTTCGACTGCCATTACCCCTTAGCTGAAGCATACCAATTTACCACGAACGTTACCTCCGTTTTTGAAGACCTCAAACAAATCTACCATAATATCTCTGATATATCACTTAAAAATCATATAACTCGCCTATAAAAAAGAATTGAGGCTACGATGGCTATATAACTTTCATATTTACTATAATTCAATGGAATTACGACAGATATTATCCGCGCTTAGAATGTCTGCAGTTACTGATATATCTCCACACCACATCACACCTTCATTTGCTTACAAGAAACAACGTCAACTAAGCTCCATACACTCAAAGAATTTGAAGGGTATCATTACATCAGATCTGTGCTCCAGGGTACGTGGAGCTGCATCCATATTTGCTTCTAATGACCATTACTCCACTCTTATTCCTCTGACTATCAATCTCGAACGTGTTGCCATTACAACTTACTGCCCTAACAAACTTACCATACGTTCTATATACAGTCCTCCTGACGACATTCTAAAGAAAGAACTCCTTGATTTAGTGTACCAACTCCACCAACCTTATATGATTGTAGGAGACTTCAACGTCCACAATACTTTGTGGGCTCCTCGCGTACATTTGGACGTGGTAAAGTTGCTAAAATATTATTGATTACTCATGTGTCCTCAATACTAGATTATACACCCACTTTAATATTGCTTCTGGTGCTTTTTCTGCCATCGATCTAAGCATATGTGATCCGAAATCGGCCCCCTACTTATCTTGGCAAACAACTGACGACCTTCACGACAGTAACCATTCCCTATAATTATACGTGTGATGACTATGACCAAGTTTCAGTAAAAAGTTATTGGCGCTTCCACAAGGAAAACTGACCAACAAAAAAAACTGAAAAAAATCTGAATCAATTTTATGCAAAAGACCCAACTCTAGTAATATTGATGATTACATAAAACTATTCTCAAGTGCCATAAATAAAGCAGCATTAAGTCATATTGGCAAAACGATAATTAGCTCCCGACATAAAGTTATACCTTGGTGGAACTCTCAATGTGAACTCGCAATTCGACAATAAAGACTGCGCTTAATCGATACTGCAAACATAAAAATCCTAAAATCTAATTAAGTATAACAAGCTGAAAGCCAAAGCCAAATACGTTGTCAAGCAAAGCAAGAACACATCGTGGTATAACTATGTATCGTCTTTGAATGATAACACCAATCACTCCCAAATGTGGAAACAAATTCGACATGCAAAAATACTTCTGCCGGCCCTTCTGATACTATCCCTTATATTTTTCTTAAAAACCTACCCACCTAACGCCTCACTATTATGTTAGTCATATATAATTCTATTTGGTCTTCTCAAATATTTCCTACTCAATGAAACACATCCGGAATTATAACTGTCCTAAAACATGGCAAACACCAATGTTTTCTCAGTTCTATAGACCGATTTCTCTCACTTGCACCATGCTCAACTCATTGTTTAAGTTTACGCCCGAGAATATTTTTCACGCTTACGAAGGGTTAAATTAGAACCCGTCGTGAATTCCGTTATTTTACTCAACGCTGCAAATAGTGCCGTTTTGGCATTGTGTTTGCATTTGTTTTTTATCGTTACATATTTATTACCACTTCCCATTTCCGTCGATACCTTGCACGTTGACCCGTTTAGACGTTATAAGGTTAGTGTCCTTTTGGCAATGCCGCCATCTTTATTTTTTGTGTCAACGTATTGGTTGTTACCCCCTTCCCTTTTCTACGATACCTTACACGTTGTTGTACGTTGAGCCGTTTAGACGTTACAAGCTTAGTGTCCTTTTGGCAATGCTGCCATCTTTGTTTTTTGTGTTAACGTATTTGCTACCCCATCCCCTTTTCATACGAAAAGAAGAATTGACGCTAACTTCGCGTTTAAACGATGTCATACGAAAAGAAGAAGAATTGACGCTATATTCACGTTTAAACGATGTCCAAAAAGAAGAAGGATTGACGCTATCTTGACGTTTGAACGATTACAGTTGACATGACAGTTGACAGATGACAGTTGTCATTCAATTGTCAAAGGGTGGCGCAAACGGATGGTGCTAAAAAGCAACAAACGCCTAATTCCTGGAATGAAGAGAAAGACATAAATAATATAAGAAGTATAAAGATGCATCTAAGTGTCAATTGGAGAAATATAAATTCAAAATCTTTGACATGGAGAAACCAAATCAAAAACAGGAAGAAATTAAACAAAATATTATAGATAATTTAAAAGAGTATATATATTTAATGAAATAATGAAAACAATTATAAATATGTGTATAGTACATTAGATCACTTTTTAGTCTCATGTTTCATAAAACAAAAATTATTATCTAATTATGTTACGACTACTGCTTATATATAAAAATAATTTCAATACATATATTCAGTGTTGAATATATTCAACATTGGGGATGATTATCAAAGGGATTAACTAAACATTTTCTAAGGTGAAAGTCACAATACCAGAATAATCTCCCGACCGTCAACGATGATATATAAAGGCCATTAGAGTTGTTTATGAAACAGCCATTGTCACCATATCATTTTAAACAGGTAGCTGTCGGGGATAGCTGTGACCAGCTAGAAATTATTATCTTGGGGATTACAAAGGGTGTACAGTAAAGAGTACACTTTGTGTTTATTGGGCAATTTTAAGTAATTTTTACATCTGCCAGGAATCTTTTAATATACATTTACATTTAAGGAATAATTAAATGATTTGCAATATTTAAACAAATAAACCACAAAAACGGTTACAAATAACCTAAATAATTATGTTTTATGCCCCATGCGGTAATTTTTATTAAAACAGTTTTTACAACTTAATAATCTTCGACAAAATGTTATAAACCAGTGGCAAATAATTTCAAATTAAATACTATATGGAAGTAAAACACACTTAATTGTAATATGAATTTAATTTTATGTGTGTTCCGACGTTTTGATTTCCAATCGGGAAATCGTTTTCAAAATACTCTTAAAGATTATCAATTATTTAAAATGTAAATATTTACAAGTTGCCGCTGCCTTATATCACCAATTTGACAGTTGACTTCCTGGCCTCGATACTTCGGGATTTTGACGGCATAAGCCATATTTTGAGTAACTTTCTGACAGTTTTTGTGGGATAAAAAATTCAAGCGACCTTAACATACGATCTATTCTAATATTTAGAAATTCGATTTAAAACGTTAGTTTGAAAACAGTAAATCTAACTTAAAAACCTACAAGGATAAAACTGATTTTCTTAGTCGGCTGTATACCATATATATCACAAAGATTTTTATTAAAAAATCCTTTATTAAAGGTATATTTACTGAAAATAATTCTTACGATCTAAATCACAAAATGTTTTCGGACTAAACAGTAAACAGTCCATAAGCAGTGCTGCTACTAGGTATACATCATTAGCTTAGAATTATACTGTGGTATGTGCACGTGCAGCAAATTAAGTTCTGAGAAACATGAAAAACAAATTCTTCACTGTAACGGATATACGGGTACACCTAGTACACCCAAATATGAAAAACAATATTTTTCGAACTTATGAAGAGAACTGTAAAATATGGTAAAAACTTTATAGAAAAGATAAGAAATATGTTTATGGGTATGTTTACGGGATATACACACCATACATTATTACACACTATTGGTTTTGGGTAGTATAGATCCATACTTAGCCTTATTCACTTCTGCCATTCACTTAAACATACTTTTGATGGCCTGAAATTTGTTTTGAGGAAGTGATCGTGTGACTAATAAACGAGTTGGTTCTTTAATAAACTGTTTCTTTTCGCAGTTAGTTCTAATAGGCCGAAAATCGCGAATGAATACTTTCTTCCAGTCACTATGAGTGTGACTCACTTTAAATCCCATTTCAAATATGGATCGCGAAAATTCTAATGCAACTACTTTGTTTTATGGTACACAACTATCACTTCAGAATATTATGGTTTTCACATTGGCATGATCTCTAAAAACAGCTTTTAGAATTTTGATCAATGCACTTGCTATATCATTGCCACTTCTACCCATAAGAGATTCACTCCATAAGGCACAGTGTACTTGCTTCGTTTTGGATAATATTGCAGTTAAATTGTAAACCTTTAACTTAATTTTATAATACAAGTTACTTACTTCAGCATGAGCACAGCTCAAGACATTGTGTAAATCAAACACCAAAAAATTATTATGAGTTTCTCTATCTTTTTTTTCTTCACAAGCCGCATTATTTGCTTGTATATTCTGATCATACACTGTTAATTGTTCAGCCTGCAATAATACACCTTCTTTATGTTTTAGTTTGATCTCTTCACATAAATCACAACGATTTATTTAGGGTACATGAAAATAAATATTGAAGTGATTGCAAACTAGTTGCTGATAAAAAGACTCGTTGTTTATTGGATTCATTACAAAGTTCGGAGCAAAGATTATACATTTTTTTAATACTCAAAGATGACTCTAAGTACAGTCGTTGTCTATTAGCTCTACAGTAGTAAGATTCTACTGCAGGAAATAATTCTATGTATCTCTTAACAAAATTGACATCTTCTTCAGGTATCTTATATTTTGTGTGTTTTCTTAGGTAGGTATATCAGGTTTATTTGAAATAATCACCTTTTTCAAATGAACTGCGTATACAGAGGTTTGGCTGATTTCTAAGATGCTTGAATAAAAGGTTTTACACACTTGAATTTTTCGACTGCCTATTTGAAAGTAATAATTAAATGTCTGTTTTCTTCTTCTGTTTTGACGATTTTTTTCTATGTCGCTCTATACTGAACGTTTTTAAGGTTACTAATAAAAACAATTTCTTCGCATGTTCTGTTAAAGTGTAAAAACGCTAAAAAAACTGCCCCCTTTCATCTTATGTAAGTTGCTGGCATTTATACAAACACTTAAATGTACAGCATTTTACTGTTTTTATTGTTATTTTTTTGTCTAAAACAACTTTTATTCTAAAAGATATGTATTCTTTTCCTGCGTCATGTGCCACTTTTTTAATACTACTTTTCCAATTACTTGGGTTCTTCTGTCTTTTGCTAGTCAGTGTTTTGGATAACTCGATTTGAGTAGTCACACTTTCAGTTCTATTTGCAGCTGCGGCAACAATTTAGATTTAGCATCTATTGGAATCTTCTTCTTCTTCAGATGCAAATCCACTAATGGATGTTAGCGATCACATTTTCCATTAACTCTCTATTTCTTGCAATATGTATCAGAGATTGTATGTCGTTAATCCCTGTCCATTGCCTTATGTTTCGGAGCCAGGACATTTTCTTGCGTCCCATTCCTCTCTTGCCTTCAATTTTACCCTCGATTATAAGTTGGAGGAACTGGTATTTTTCATTTCGCATGATGTGACCTAGATACGCCGTTTTCCTTTTCTTGATGGTTTCGAAAAGTTGGCGTTCTTGGTTTATTCTTTTAAGGACATCTATATTTGTGATTTTCGCTGTCCATGGTATTTTTAGGATACGGCGATAAAGCCACATTTCGAAAGCTTCCAATCTGTTTATATCCCTCGTTTTGAGTGTCCAGCCCTCTACGCCATATAGCAGCACTGACCATACGTAGCACTTAGTAAACCTTAGTCTCAGTTGAAGATCGAACTCAGAACAAGTCAGTACCTTCTTGAATTTTACGAAAGCTTGTCGAGCTTGCTCAATGCGACATTTTACTTCCCTGTCCGATGCCAGTCTTCAAATAGCCACGATCCAGGTATTTAAATTTACTCACTCTTTCTATGGATTTACTATTCAGTGTTATGGTGGAGTTTTCAAATGCATCCAAGTTTCTGGAGATGATCATGAATTTGGTCTTTTTGGTATTAATCTCTAGTCCCATTCGCTCACTGTATTCTCCGATTATAGTGACAAGTTGTTGAAGATCGACTATGTTGTCACAAATTAAGACACCATCATCAGCATATCGTATGTTGTTGATCAATACTCCATTCACCTTGATTCCCATCTCTGCATCCTCCAAAGACTCTTGAAATATGGCTTCTGAATAAATGTTAAATAAAAGAGGGGAAAGCACACATCCCTGTCGAACGCCTCTTCTTATATGTATGGGCTTAGATATAGAATTGTCTATTTTTAGCTGTGCCGTTTGATGCCAGTACAAGTTTTCAATGCATCTTATGTCTTTTTGGTCTACATCAACTTTCTTGAGAATCTGCATTAACTTGTGGTGTTGGACACGATCAAACGCTTTTTTGTAATCTAAAAAGCATAGGAACACATCCTTCCTCTGATCGTAACAATTTTGGACCAGTATATGTGTTGCTACTATTGCTTCTCGTGTTCCTAAACCTTGCCTAAACCCGAACTGTGAATCACTGATGTCCCATTCACATTTTTTGTATAATCTTTGACGTAGTATTTTTAAGAATATCTTTAAAGTGTGACTCATCAGGCTAATGAGTCTGTGATCCTCACATCTTTTTGCATTGACTTTCTTGGGCAGGGGAATAAAGGTAGAGCGTAACCACTGTTGAGGATAGCAGCCAGTTTCATAAATTAAATTAAATATTTTGTGTAGTGCTGAAATTCCCTTTCATCTAGTAATTTGAGTATTTCTGTCGGGATCTCATCTGGTCCAGGTGCCTTATTGTTTTTTGAATTTAATATTGCTTTTTCTATCTCCTCTTTGGTGATTGATGGGCCAGTCAGCTGGTCGTCTGTATAAACTTCACTCATGGGTCTTTCGTCATGGAAGAGCTCCTGGATATAATTTTCCATATATCAATTTTTCTCTTTTCACCCAGCACTATCTGGTTATCCTGATTAACTATGGTAGTTGGTCTTCGTTTTCTGTATATTCCAGCAGTTTCCTTAAGCTTTTTATGTAAATTACGGTCGTCGTGTTGTCTTTGTAAATGTTCTAGATCGGTAAATGTTCTATTGGAATCACTAGAGTCTTTTTCGCAAACAGCTAGTACATATTCTCTGTCCCTGCCTGAATCATAACCATGGCAATCTATGAAGTCTTCACATTGAAGAGACTAGTCAGTTTCTTCATTTTCATCGTCAGTAGGGTCTATATTCCCTATAGTTTCACTGGAAATCTGTAGGTCTTTCTTTTGAACTACGCTATAATATTTAAATTTGTTTGGAAATTCCTTACAGTAAAAAATAAATAAAGAAAAACTTACTCTAAATCTTTTAAGTTCGTTCCTACATTTTTCATCGAATCAGAATTCGCACTAGCCAATTTAAAATGCATTACAAATAAAATAAGAGTGGACTTAAAAGTCACAAAGGTTAGCAAAACATTTTTCTGAAAAGATAAAATCTAACCTCACTTTTTCATTTTTGGTATTTAAAGTTTCATTTACTCCTTATTTTAGAATTATAGATTAATTAAATTGTTCAGAAACCTTATGTGATCGATTACTCACAAAAGTACACACAAGTTTATAGTTTCCCGTTATTTTAATAGTTCATATAGCTATCTGTTATAATAAACTACTATTGTAACAAAGTTGTATGTGCGTAATACTCGGCTGCTTGAAATGCAAACGTAAAATAACAAAGTTGTATGTGACACATAGAACTAAGTTACTCAAACAGTTTCTTAGAGTTACCGAGGTATAGTGGTAATTGAAATTCATCGTAATAGAACTATGTATTTCTGCCATAAATACCATAAAACTAATTTTGCAAAAAATGTTACATAAAACACTATAATTCTGATCTAACGACATGTTTAAATCTGCTAAATCTATGGGTGAAAACCTTCATAAATATTATTTAATTGGTATTATTATTGGTTATGTTTAGTAATTTTTCCGTGTTTCCATGTTTAAAACCCGTATTTTTTGCCTTCGTAGAGTATGAACAGGCATTTGATAGTATCCAGATGTTTAGTATCCGCACAAAATACGATACGATCTCTTGTTACTTTATCATTTATAAATCCACTTTGATATTTTTCGTTCACGTTCTTGGTTAGCTCAAGAATATTTTTTCTGTTCGAAGAATGAGATATACCTTTATTTACTTCAGAGTAATATATTATTTTACTGTTTTTAAATTTTTTCTATTATATTTTATGAATACTTTTTTTTAAACAACGCGGATAGATGCCTTCAATGTAGGTACAAACGAAGAAGAATTCCGTAAAGTCTTAGCAGGTAAGTTTAAAGCAGATCCTTCAAATAATCAACACCAAATTGACGACATTAACAAAAATAAATAAAAACTTTGTCAAAGCCGGACTACAGGTAGCAAACAAAACAAGAACAGAAATAAGAGAACATTAATAAGACAAAATAAGCAACGAAACTAACCAATTAATGAAAGAAAGAAGACAACTACTATTGGAAAATAAACGCAACACTTAATATACGTAGAACTTTAAAGAAACAATTAAAACATAACTAAAATGCGATATAAACAAATAACACGGAAACTTAATATAGTAAGTCATTGATAACAACAAAGGCCTAAAATATTTAAGATCATTATTTGATGTCCAAAAAATTATCTAAATTAAAGACACCAATAATAAGGAAAAAAGAAAAAGTATTAGATTACAAAGACAGTCGAAGACTTCCACAAAACCCTGTACAGCTCGCAAAGCCTACCTAAATCAACAAAAGAGAAGGTCGAAAGAAAACTAAAAACGTGGGATCAGAGGTACTACCGAATATAGAAGGATTTTAAATAGAAAGAGCTTTAAAAGAGCTAAAGAATAATAACCTCCAGGACACGACAGTTTAATTTCCTAGCTCAAGAAAACAAGTAAGACAGTAACAATTCTCATACTAACAGAGCTATTTAATAGCAAAAAATGTCTCCATAATAGCAAAAACTATTTAAAAAAAATTGTTAAATATAATACGTATATACATATTAAAACTACTTTTCACTGAAGTATACTGTACAATTGGTAAAATAGTAAATCAACGGGAGTTTTCTCATTTAAATCGTAAGTAAGCATCTACAAAGCTTATAACAGCACGATAACATTTCTAACAATACAAGAACAAGTCGAAAATCCATTCGAAACTTCGTAATTGTTTCCGATAACTGCATCAAACTTGATTCTAATTTAAAAGTATTTGTCTTGGCGGAGAGAGCGCCTACGAAGTTATGCTGCGGTATTTTTCTTAACATAGCTCCAACATAAAGCCAGAGAAGGTAAGGAAAAACTAATTTCAAACTCACTTATCTTCCAGGGATTAATTTATATAGAAGGAGGAGAAGGAAGAAACGGTATGCCTTTTCAGGCATGTCTTTGAGTTACACGCGAAAGAGGGA